TGAATGCTTGATTTTTTTTTTGAAAATATTCATCATTCGAGGCTGAATCCGAATATATTATTGAAAATGTTCCATGTCTTAAAAGTAATTTTTAATCCTGTTTTATCAGCTTTGGGGTTCGCATGGATCCCGGCTGGACAACAAGCGTTCACATGTACTTTCACATCGTTTATCACATCGACAACGAATGGCAATGAGCAACTGATGTTATCAGCTAGTATAGCCTACTCTACTACTCTTCACTAAGGCATATCATGAAGGGCATGATTCGATCTAATATTATGTGCATATAACATTAATTTGAAACTCGTTGGGGTCCAGCTGGACCTCAGGTGGGCGGATGAGGGTTAAACGAACATCCACTATGAAAATATACGTAGGACAGTGAGGACAACGAACGAGACATTTCAGCAAAAATCTCAAATAAAATATCTTTCATATGGTGTAGATTTTTGAAGAAAACAAATTTCAAAGAATTTGCTAAACTTCTGATATAAAATAATCGTATATAGAAATGATCCGAGTCTAGACTCCGATTTTCCACCCTTTAGGAAAAAATGCACAGTTCGAAAAGTGGCGTAGATGAAAAAGTTTTTCAGTTGATAGAAAAGTAAAGTTCACATTTTTCTACAAAATGAAAGAGGTTTCTGAACTTTATGCCATTCTTCTTGCCAGTTGTGCACTTGTTATAATAATGTCTCCCATCGAGCTTAGGCTCGGGCTCGGTGAGAAACATTATTATAACAAGTGCGCAACTGACAAGAACAATCGCACAGAACTCGGAAATCTCTCTGCGCTCTATATTTTGAGCCATTCAAAAAAACTTTTTCTAGTCATACTTCTGCAATTCATCACAGAATTTGAAAAAGATGGTGAAAAAGCTCGGACCATTCCTAGTCGTATAAACTTGTCTGTTTTTTGTCGACGATTAAAGTATTCATATAACACTCGTTGAATGTTTGTGAATTACTCACTGCTATGATTAAAGAAAAAAGTGTCATAAACATTTTACGTTACGAATCAATAAACGATTATTTTACGTGATATTTTAGAATAAAAGTAATAAAAAATATTTTTAGCTTCTAAAATTGTGACAATCTATAGATTTACAGTAGAAGACAAAAAAAAAAGATAAATTTAAGTTAACATTACATATAAAAAGTATTATTCAGTTTAAATAAATATAGCATTTTTGTTTTTTCTTCTAAAAATTTACTCTAGATGAAATAGTGATCAGTTAGTTTTTTGATTAAATCATGAAAAATTCGTGAACATTTGAATATGATCAAATATTATTTGTGTTTGTTATATAGTAAAAAAAAATTTGTTTTCATATTGCGAAATGAAATTAACAAAAAACTCTATTGTATAATACTTTCGAGAGAGAAGAACAGAGACATTCGAAAAACAAACATTATATATTTTTTTTTATACTATATACATCGTAATATGACTAAAAGTACATAGTTTTGACCTTTGAAGTAACTTTTTATTTTATTAGAATAAATGTGTTATTAAATATTTGTCGACTTTTGCTTCACGATGTGTTTAATATAACATCGAATAAAACAATAGTGAAACAAAACTGGAAACAATGCTAGTATATAAAAAAAAAAAAATATGACTTCTCCAATAAAACAAAAAAAAAGAATCTTTTATAACACACGAATTATAAAAACCAAAAAAATTATATACAAAGTTAAATGAAAACATATTTTTTGAATCAAAAAATGATCTATTGAATGAAAATACATTATTTTTTTACTATAATTTAGTTGTATATTCATCTAATAATGGATTATCGTCTACTTTTCTTAACAATAATGGTGTTGGTGGTTTTATATTCATAGGTGAAGATTCAAAAGCGGGAGCTAAAGTTTGATCTTCCAATGTGTCTTTTGATGATGGTGGAGACATTGGAACAGCTGCACTCAATGAACTCAAACCTTTATAATAATTATTTTCTGTTAAATATTCTTTTAAATGTTGACCCACTTTAATTTTATCCGCAATAGGATCAACTGGTTTCTCAGCAATTTCACCACTAAACAAAAATAAATAAAATAAACAAATAAAAAGAAAATTATTTTGATTTTATTTATCACATACATCACATCAATAACCCAATCACGAAAGAATGGTAAGAGTTGATCATCCATTGCTGGTAAAACAACTACACGCTAAAATAAAAATAAAAAATTAACTTTAGTTACATCTTATTCGATACTTCGAAATACAATTGCATATGAATCGATTATTTCAATGATACAACATCATCGGCAACTTTTCTGACTCATATCTAAACTCTTTATGTAGCATCACTAAGTGAAAATGAAAGAGATCAGTGGGCGAAACTGTTCATATCTCTGATATATTTCTTAAGAAACAAAAAATTGTATATCTACATCCGTTTGAACTGCTTAAAAAAACCGTTGGATGACAATCCCACACTGAAACTCAAATATAAAACTTCTCAAAATGTAGTTATTTTATTGTAGATGGTTAGATCTTTTTATATAATTGTTGTACAACTCTCTAGAGCGAAATACAATATTCAACAATGGTTGCTATACGACTTTGCAATAGCAGAGGATAGGTTTTGAAAACTAAATGTTTGAATTTTTAGCTCATCTTTTGAATGGAAGATCGTATACAGTGTGAAAACATTTCAACATGTTCGGTGCACTTTTCTCTTCATTTTAAGACGCTTTGCAGAGCTCTGGATCTGCTTTTGTTCGAAAACTATGAAAAAAACAACATGCAGAAAAAACGTTACAGAAGGATATGGTCAAGTAACTCTGCTATCGCAATGTCCTTCCGTAACGTTTTTTCTGCATGTTGTTTTTTTCATAGTTTTCGAACAAAAGCAGATCCAGAGCTCTGCAAAGCGTCTTAAAGTGAAGAGAAAAATGCACTGAACATGTTGAAATGTTTTCACACTGTACACGATCTTTCGTTCAAAAGTTGAATTAAAAATAAAAACACTTACTTTTCAAAACATATCCGAAAAAGGAGATGTTTGTATTTTTATATATTTGGCCTAGGCATGCACCAGTTAAAAACCGATGTTAGGGCTTCTACGAAAATTGTTATAAGTCACCTACTATAAGAATTGCTTAAAGTCGTGGAACCTCTCACTTTGTAGAGAAATGTTTGGACTACAATCCGATACAAGTAGAAAATTTCAACGTTACCTGTGATACAAATATGAGCATTCTAAAATGCACTAAACTCAGAAAAAAAACTGTTCGAACAAGGTGTTTTTCTAACTTTAGTGCATTTTAGAATGCTCACATTTTTGCTAGAAATAACTTCAAATTTTTTCTCACAGTTGGCTTTTCAAGAACAACCATTTCTCTACATAATGAAGGGTTTCTACGACTCTGAGTAACTCTCTATAGGCGACTTATAGCAATTTTCTTAGACGCCCTAATACTAGTTTTTAACTGGTGCATGGTTAACTTGGCCAAGCCGTATAGTAATCCGAATCAATCTACATTCATTGCTAAGATAATTATTCATATGAGCTGCTCTCTCAATAAAACAGGATGACATTGGCTGTTATGGTAAAGATCATAAAATGGTTGACATAGCTATCACAGAGGAGAGAAGGGATAAAAAGTTGCCGAAAATCTATGAACTTCAATTGCTCTCTATATTGGTGTTGTTGAGAGGAATTTCACAAAAAAGCTGAATGTAAGATTGTTTGGTTTGTCAGTCATTTCTTCCCGCCGATAAACCGGATTTGCTACATTTCTTTTTACCAATCGACTATGTCAGAGTTATGATATAAAGTTAAGAAAGACTCGAAAATCTGTTTGTAACTGTAATCACACCTCTAGAGTTATAAAACGAATAACACATAGGGTGTGATTTTGTTTATGTCAAAAAAAAAAACTTACTTTTAATTCGCTTTTAATTTTACTTTCAAGAAAATCGTGTAGTAACGGATGTGAAAATGTACTGTCTCCAAATAGTGGATTAACTTTCATTTTTAGATCGGGTACTTCTGGAAATCCAACCCTAGAATATACAAAAACATAAACATATAATTCATATAGTAGAAACAAAAAAATTTATCCTAGTTTACCATATACGATCCGATGGTGGTGGAGGAATATTAATCTAAAGTAAATACAATAACAAGATTAACTTATATCTTCTAATCAGTCAGAATTCGTTTAATCAACATTTTAAAGTAATTAATAAAATATTAAATAAAACAGAAAAAAAACTTACAGTTAAAACACCAGAAAAATCTGTCACTTCAATGTGTGCACCGGCAACTTTACCACTTAATTTTTTGAATAATGCCGCAACGGGTGTAAAACCGGCAATCAACTGAAACCATTTATTTTCCGCTAAATTTTGTAACATTGTACCAAGTTTACGCGTTGGAGCCCTTCAAACAATAATAATAATAAAATATCTCAATAAAACAATAACAATTGTCAAAATACATACATTTCAGCTATTTCTGGTTCCATTGCTAACAATTTTTGTCTTGCCGCTATATCATCTTCCGGTATGACTCCTTCTTGTTTATGTACTTTTTGTGAGAAAGCATGTTGTTTAAACATTGGTTCACCTTTTTCACGATTATAATTTAATAATTTGTCTAATAATAATTTTGTTTTTACTGTTAATCTAAAATACAATATATATGTAAAATATTTAAATAAGAAAACTGAAAATATCAGACATACTTAATACTACCACGATAAAGTAAGAAAACATTTAACCAAATTCCTCTTGTATTCCATTGCATTGGTTCAACTCTCAATATAATCGGAAAAACTTGACCAAGATCAATTGATTCAAGAGTAAAATCATCCAAAATAGCCAACTAAAAATAAAAATAAAGTCAACATCTACTTAAATCTAATTCTATTCTTTACAATAATAAAAAAACCATAAGATTCTCTAATACACATTGCTTTGAACTCAAGAAGTGAAGTATATCTATATCGAGTAGATAAATAATGATAATATAATTCACATAGCTATGAATTATAGTTGTGTTTGTTAAAATAATACTTTATGTTCTTTTTCAGAAAACAAAAATGTGTCACATGCATTACTCTATTGTAAGATGTCGAAAATTCAAAACTTAAGTGTATTTTAGTTTTGCGATATTTATACATCATTCGATAGAGATCGTCGAGCTGAATCTAAATACGTGTGTTATAATCTTACGAAAAACATTTTTGTGATTGAAAATTTTCAAAGTTGAAAAACCAGTCTATATGTTGAAAATAAACGTGAATCTCTAATCTACTGTCTTTGTGAATTTTAAATCTTTTTAGTCTTATTCTATATGAAAAAGTGAATCTAAAAATCTAGTTTTTCTGTCATTTAAATGTCATTTGACCCAGAAACTTTTCGGTTTTTCACTGATAGTCAGAATACCACTTTCCTTCCAAGCAAAAGCATTAAGACTTTATAGATATGAGATCAAAGCCAAAATGTTTAAATCGTTAGACTCAGCATATTGGCATGAAAACAGCTGATTATCGGTTTTGAAATATATTGTTTTGTTTCATTGTTCAGAAAATTTATTTTTTTTGAGACAGGCAATAAAAAATGAGGAAATGCACTGGTATTTTGCAGCTTTTGACGTGAAGCGTCCATGTATTTTTGTTGTTACAAAACCCAACGTTATATTTGGAATCAGTAACAAAAACTGAATTGACTAATGTATGTTTCAGATGTTTGTGACCACTTTGATTTTTCAGCAAAAATCTCGGTCGAAAAGCTCAAAAAAGACCGAAGTTGTCACCAACAACGTCAGTCAGTTCAGTTTTTTATACTGATTTCAAATATAACATTGGTTTTGCAACAAACAAACACATGAAAGTTTAACGGCAAAAGCTGCAAAATACCAGTGCATTTCCTCATTTTTTATTGCCTGTCTCAAAAAAAAAATTTTCTGAACAATGAAA